CGTCAACCATCCAAAATCACCCTGAGGCCCCCGGGACCTCAACCAAAGGCACCAACATATCCTAGAACATTATTCAAACTTGTACAAATCTTCAAAACACCTCAAACAACATCAAATCAACCAAAACACATCGGATTCAAACCTAAGTTTTCAAAATCTTTCGAATTTCGTTTTTGATCAAAAACCCGACCAAACCACCTCCGAATGACCTGAAATTTTGCACACACATCCCAAATGACACCACAGAACTACTGCAACTTTCGAAATTCCATTCCGACCCCTATATCAAAATCTCGCCTACCAACCGAAAATCGCCAAAATGTCAACTTCGCAAATTCAAGCCTAAATCTACTACGAACCTCCAAAACTCATTCCGATCACACTCCTAAGTCACAAATCACCTACCCAAGCTAACCAAACCCTCGAAACTCACATCTGATCCTTTTAACACATAAGTCAATGTCCGGTTGACTTTTCCAACTTAAGCTTCCTCAACAGAAGACTAAGTGTCTCAAACCTTAACAAAATCATTCTGGATTCGATACGACCAACCCGATACCACATAAAATGGATAAACAATGAATAAAGAAGCAGAAATTGAGGAAAGGAAGTGGTAACGCATGAGACGACTGGCCGGGTCGTCACAGCCAAAGATGGCCATTTCAATAATAACTCGGCTTGGCATTTAGTGAGAATGAAAAAGCAGGAAAATAATTTCATTAGTAAGGTTTGGCACAATTCTATACATTTTAAAATCTCCTTCCTATCCTGGAGGTTAATTAGAAGGCGATTACCTTTTGATGATATTATTGGAAAATTTGGCACTAACATTGTTTCTAGATATTCTTGTTGTACTTTGTCGCAGGTTGAAACTTTGGAACATGTATTCAATGGAAGCGATATATCAAAACTCTCATGGAATACAATTGGCAATCCGCTGGGAATAAAGCATCAAATAGAGCTGGTGCTGGGCACCTTCACAAGGTGATGAAAAACAAGTTCCAAAAACAAGATTCATAGCTTGATCTTACAAATAGCTCCAGTAACAATATGTTGGGAGATATGAAAACAGTGGACATTGTGCAAATATGGTAATCAGAAGAAGTTCTAACTCAACATAATGGTTCATCAAGAAATCTGGAATATCAAATGAGTCATCTCGAAACTTATACCAACTTGGGACAACCAGCATCTTTGGCCAGCTCTCTGTCAGAGAATCGAAAGACTGAAACCAATTCAAAGTTGGAATCAAGTTCTTTGGTTGACAACAAATCAGGGAAGTATCAAAGTTAATAGCAATGGTAGCTACATCAGAGAAAGCAACAAAGCTGAAATAGGAGGCATCGTAAGAAATAGCCATGGCGACCTAATCATGGCATTCTCGATGACAGTTCAGTGTGATAATAACAATGTTGCGGAAGCTCTTGCTGCTGAGTTTGGAATAAAATGGTGCAATCTACAATGTTACACTAATTTTATTCTCGAACTCGACTCTATGGTGATTGCAAACATGCTAATAAATAGGGACACCAACAATCTGAAAATCAAATAAGTGATTGATAGAATGCTGAATATCATACAATATGCTAGTGTGGAGGTAAAGCATTGCTACAGAGAAGGCAATCAAGTTGCAGATTGTCTTGCGAAATTAGCTTCTACCTCGGGTAACAGTATGATTATCAACTCATATCAACAGCTACTTAGAAGCCTTAAAGGCTACTTCCTTTTAGATAAGTGGCAAATGCCCAGCATCAGAACCAAATATGACAAAGCTAATTCTTTTATTAGTTAATGATGTAATTTTTAATGCCCAATTATATCTATCTTCTTCTGTTTCTTTTGGGTGATGGAATCACCAAGTTGTATTGTCTGAGGCAAGGCCTAGCCCCCTCATTGAACTTTTTTTGTGAATACAACTTTGCCTAGCATTGCAATTGGGTAATTATATAAAATAAAATAAAAATTAATTTGATCATTGTGGTTGTACTCTATTTTGAGGCACTTTCCCCCGGATATGCAAAAATATCCAAACGTGCTTTTTGAGTCATGTCACAATATGGTATCCAAATTCAACGTTAAATAATGTAACTTTTTGACTTTCTAACGTTGCTTTTAATATACACAAATGCGGAGTCATTGTAAGCTTTTAATAAAATGGTATAACGAATTGACAGTAAATCATGTTTTCTTATAATTTTGAGTTTTTAAGAGATGGACTAAACAATTAAGGGATTTTTGCTAAGGTGAAACCAGTAACTCACCAAGTGTTGTTCTCCAGTTCTTGTGAGGCAGATTGAATTATAATTTGAACTTCATAATTAGATTCATCTCCAATAAGTTATGGAGATGAATTTTTTAGAAGAGAATTACATCCTTTTAAAAATGTTACTACAATAACAGAATTTCATGAATAGCCTCAATAAAGGCATGTGGTGCACATAATCCACTATTAATTATTACAAATAGCCGGCCGAATTCACTATTTACTTTTGTTGATATACATAGATTATATATATTATATATCCAATGACTATTTTTAGTTTAAACGGTTAGGTGGACGGTTATTTGAGATAATAGCCTGTTTGGGCAAGCTTCAAAAATTAGCTTCTTTTGAGAAGTATTTTTTGTCACAAGTGTTTTTCTCAAAAGTACTTTTGGTGTGAAACAATTTGTGTTTGGCTAATCAATTTCAAAAGCACTTCTGAGCAGCAATTAGTATTTGACCAGAGTGTTTCTAAGTATATTTTTCTCAAAAATGTTTTTCATTAAAGTGTTTTTGGCCAGAAGCTATTTTATTTTATTTTTGTTTTTCCAAAACTGCTTCTGCTTCTATTCAAAAGTACTTTTTTTCTTCTAAAATCTTGGCTAAACACTTAAAATTTGAAAGAAAAAAAAAGTACTTTTGACTTTGAAAAAACTTGGCCAAATAGGCTATAATTATGCAATTGCTATTAGCACAGGTTGCGCCTTGTGGAAAGTCATAGGGAGGCCCCTCTCAACTTGGAGCAGAGCTGGAGAAGACGTGTAGTGGCCCAAGTTGGTTGAGTACAAAAAGAGGCCCACGCAGATTTACTGTCCAGTGGGCTAAATTTATGTGTTAGCTTTGACCCGAAATCCTCAACTAGGCTTTTTAACCTAACTATCCTATTGAATTTAGCATAGTCTATTCGTAGCACATTTGAACTATTTTTAGTCTTATTCACCCTCTTGAACTTAACTATTACATAAATTTATCCCTGTAAGTTGACGTAGAAAGAGCGTGAATACACTCACTTTGGTGCGCGTAAGACTGAAAAAATTAAAAAATTGCTTCCATGCACGATATTTTTCAACTGTTAATTATCGTTCAAGTATATATGAAGGTTTATTTGTTTCAATTGTATAAGCATTTTCTTGCTTAACAATGCATATTTTACTCAGTATTTTCTTGATTTCTTTTTTTTTTTTAGATGTGATGGCTATTTGCTCTAGTTGTATAGGGGTAGTAGTACGGGCGAAGCCACCTTTTGCAAAGGGACCACCCTTCGTCAAAATATTACGAAAAATTAAACTATGTATATAAATAAAATATTAATTTTAGATGTATAAAATATATATTAAACACCCTTTTAGAAAATCTTTTTACTTTTTTCAAGTCTGAACACCCTTGAAAATATTTTTGGCTTCGCGAGAACTGAAAAATAATTTAGATGTGCACTAATAAACAGTGTCAGGAGGTAGTTAAGTTTTCTACCTTTTAAAATCCAAATCCAGCTAATCACATTTAGTTAAGTATACCCTACAACCATGGTTTAGAAAGTTTACAACCCATTCATTTTTGTTCTGGACTTGCTTTTCCAATCATTGTAATTTGTAACTAAAGTTAGAGCATACTACTATCTTTGAAATATTTTTGTGATGTTTTTGTCAATATCAGTATTATATAGCTGAATCGTGATTCTGATTATATGATCTTTTTTATTTTGTTAATTAAATATTAGTTAATTATCACTAAAAACAATTATGATTGTACAAAAAACATGTATATTTTACAATGAGAAACCTTTATTATCTGCTCACTAATTATTACATTAATCTCTAAACCACCAAAAAATATTTTTTTAAAATATATAAATGTCACGTAGTCAAATGTATTACTACAGTTAGTTAATCCTTATATTTTAGATATTGATTGGCGTTAACTATAGTATTAATATTGTTGTCTTCGTCGTTGTGGCCTTGTGGCTACAATTGTTATTATACCTAGAAATAGTGAATTATGTACCAATTTTAAAGTGGTAAAATGAGTATATTTCTGTCAATTTTTAGAATATACACACCAACGAGACATACACACACAAACACACACTCTTTTAGGTGAATAGCATGGGCTGCTTTTGAACTAGCCATTGAAAAATAATCAATATTTGCAAAGCCATTGAAAAATAGTCATTATTTTAGCTAAAACACGGAAAGTTCCAGCATAATATGCTGGATTTTGGAGCTTCTACGTATAAACTTCAAGCATATTATGGTGGAACTCTATCACATTAGAAAATTCCAGCATATTATGTTGGAATCCCATATGTAAAAAATTCGAACTCCGCCATATTGTACTGAAATTTTTCCGTATTTTTAAAGGTATTTTTGTTCAGATTTTATCTTTACATGAAAAAATAGCTAAATTTCAATTACTTTTAAAACTGTGGCTATTTTTTAGTTATCGGTTGTAAATTAGGCTATTTCTGATTTATTTTTTTTCCCCTCTTTTGGCCTAAAGCAAGGAAATGAATATAGAGATCTTTAAAATGAAATAATAATAATAATAATAATAATAATAATAATAACTACAGAAAACAATAAAAAGAGTAAAGAAAAGACAATGAGGCAGCCAGCTAGATATGGCAATGGAAAAGAAAGAAGACGACCTGGCTGTTTGGCCTATGCTTCCTTTGTTCACATTCCTATATATATATATATATATTGTGTATATATATGTATATTTAACAGAGATAGATATTTGGGAGAGAGAGGGGAGAAGAAGTCTTTGTATCCTTCTTGACCTCTCCATTGCCAGTCTGTAATATACTCATTAATCATTATACACTTTTTTCTCGTTTATTTATATGATGATATGAATACAACACATATTATTGTATAAAAGCCTACACCCCTTTCCTTATTTGGACCAATCTTCATTACTCAATTATCTCTTGGCAAAAAAAAAAATCATGAGTCTTTTTGGCCTTGGAAGCAGGTATTGTATAGAACACATTACAACATTTAAATTTTAACCATTTTCTTGCCCTCAAGTTTTAGTTTTGAATGATCTTTTACTTTCTGTGTTTGTTTAGTTAGTTGTTTTTGTTGTTAGGAAGTTAATTAGACCAGTGTTTAATTTACTGTATCTGTCGATTATAGTTTGATCAGTCTTTAATATGCTTAACCTTTTTGCATGTCCCCATTTTGGTTCTGTGGCTAATAGCAGAACTAATGTGTTTCTTTCTTTTTTTCTATTTACTGGATAAATTTTGGCTAATTTTCATTAATATGATTATTATTTCAGAAACCAGAAGACTTTTCGTCCTAAAAAAAATGCTCCATCAGGAAGCAAGGTTAGAATTTGGTGTTTTAGTTCAATGATGTGCTGTGCCTGTAACATTTTCAGCTCATTTTTCAATCAGTTGTTAGTTTAATAGCCAAAGACAAATACTTTGTAACAGCTAATTAAACAATGAGTAAAATCCAACTGATAAATCATATGATAGAGGTTAATGTATTTTCTACCTTTGTTGTTATTGCTGTTGTGATTTTCTTCCTTTATCACAATGAAGGGTGCACAGCTCAAAAAACACATAGATGCTACTTTGGGTAGTGGGAATTTGAGGGAAGCAGTGAGGCTACCGCCTGGAGAAGATCTACATGAGTGGCTGGCTGTAAATAGTAAGTTTTCCATTTGCACAAATATACACCTATAAATATCCTTGCAAATCAGCTTCTATTGCTAATTTGATGGCAGTTGGCATCATGTGTCTATCGCTTAAATCGAATCAGGGTATAACTAATTTCAGGTGGATAATTTGACATAGGCTTCTTATAACATGTCCTTCTTGTTTTTACTGTTTCCCTGATTTTTACACTACTGTATTTCTTCTCTATACTGTTGTGATTTGGATGCTTACTTGGAGCCGAGGGTCTACCGGAAACAACCTCTCTACCTGCATAAGGTAGGGGCAAGGCTGCATACACACTACCCTCCTCACTACCCTCCTCAGACGGCTATTTATGGGATTACACTGGGTCTTTTATTGTTGTTATTGTTGTTATACCAATCGAAATGTTTTGCGTACATTCAATGATGATTTCTGAATATCGTAAACACTTTTTATTGATCTTAACTTTTATCTTTCTCTTTTCCTATAGCTGTTGATTTTTTCAACCAAGTGAATATATTGTATGGCACTCTCACTGAATTCTGCACTTCATCAAGCTGTCCAACAATGTCTGCAGGGCCAAAGTAAGTGTTTCAATCTGTTCACTTTGTGGTAGATCCTATTTATTTTGTTTATTACTTAAGTCGCCATTATAGATATGTTCGACCACAATTTTTGCAATTATTATCAAATCTGTTTGTTTAGAATGGAGTTAAAGAGGACTAAATCCCTCTAGGTATAATTATAGAGCATGAAAAGTCGTCCATTTCTTGCCAACGTCCATTCCTAACTGCTATATTTGTTTGGGATTATCGTCCTAGCTAGAAACTTTAGCAGCTATCTATGATTTCAAGTTTTCAACTTTAGTATATCTGAAGAAGCTCTGAAAGTTATGTTGCTCCAACTCTCCAAAATTGTTGCCGCACCTGTATCGGATCCTTAAAAAATGCACTACCTTTGGAGGATCCGACATGCACCCTACAATATTTTTGAAGAGTCCGAGCAACACTGAAAGTGATAGGATGTTCAGCTGTTGCAATTTTTCTCCGACCAACAAAGTCTTCAGACAACCTCCTATCCTAGGATTATACTCATCAACAGAGGTCATGCTCCAATCTTTTTTTCAATCACTATTCGCGACATGCTAAGTCCTTGCATCTATATGTACAGAGAGAGTCAATCAGTAGAGTGACTTCCTTTGGAAAACTGTAATATGATTGAACATACTGCAAAGCAGCCACAGAATGAAAATATGATGCCGATAATTTAGCGTCCTTGAGCTTTCTACGTCATTTGACCAACACATTTGACATTACATTATCTTGGTTTATGTTTTATGCGGTAAAAGACGCTTCATCATTCCCTGCATATATATCAAAACTGTTCAAGTAAATATGAGTGAAGTGCACCTCTTCAAGCAGCATTTCTAGTCTGGCAACCATTCTAAATTGTACATAACTGATGCTAGAGAATGACTTGGAATTATATGTTTGCCAGAGAATGGTTTGACCACACCATAACCACATTGTCTCAACTTGTATTACTCTAATCTCTTTATGAATTAAATGGATATCCTATTGACATATGTACTACTTGTGTCATGGCTGATAAATATTTAGTATATAACTTTTGGCAGGTACGAGTATCGTTGGGCTGATGGAGTAAATATAAAGAAACCCATAGAAGTTTCTGCTCCAAAATATGTGGATTATCTGATGAGTTGGATAGAAACTCAGCTAGATGATGAATCAACTTTTCCTCAAAATTTGGGTGAGTAATCTCTCCTTATGCTGTGCATAATATTATTACTCTGATCAAAATTTTCAATTTTTTCTGATCAATTCTATGCTACAGGTACGCCATTTCCGCCTAATTTTCAAGATGTGGTGAAGACAATATTTAAGCGATTATTTCGTGTATATGCTCATATCTATCATTCACATTTCCAAAAGATTATCAGTCTACAGGAAGAAGCTCATATGAATACCTGCTTCAAGCACTTTGTTCTGTTCACATGGGTGAGTTTATAGTACATTTCATGTTATCGATTTAATGCATTTCATGAATTTATCGCGCATCATATCTCTACAAGTAGAATGTGGTCAGTGTTGAGTAATTGAGGAAAACTAAAGTTCTAACTTTTGATCTTTGCTTGATACAGGAGTTCCGCTTAATTGACAAGGCAGAACTAGCACCTCTGTATGAGCTCATTGAATCTATTCTGCAGCTTTAGCGCTGTGCTGTGATTCATTTTCTACATTCTTTTTTCTTTCTTTCGATGATTCATTGATTAGTTTGAGTGAAGAGAAGATGGTTATGTTGATGGATCGGGAAACCCGAAAAACATGGGAACCTGTTCCAGAATTTACTTCATTTATAAGAACTTTCATGGTTTTGATATTGAATTGTAGTACCTTATAGATTTTCCTAGCACTCTTTGTAATTGAATAAGCTATTTTACAAAAGTGTGTTACTGTAAAGGAAATGGCATATTTTATGTCTTAGTTCAAAGACTACATATGATGAAAAGGCAATGCTTGTCCACTGGATTTTGTTATATTTGAAATTTGGAGGTTAACTGAGCTTTCCAAGGTATGGATAATGCAATGTGAGTTCATTTTTACTGCACTTGCAATTGTGAATTAACCATTTGTTTCCTCCTAGTAACTTTACATAATAATTTAGGCAAAGTTAAGTGACTTTTTCGTTACAAAAATTATATAGTGACTTTGGTGTAAATGACTATTCGTGAAATTACCAAAATTTAGACTCACGGACGTGTAAAGCATATCACTTTTCCATATAACTTATCCATGTCACTCTTTCCATCCAAATAAGATAAGTTCAAAGCCTAATTATTTTCTTTTCTACCTATTCACATCCTCACTAGAATAAGACAAAAACCTTCAAACTTACACAACAACCCCAAACATCTTTCTATCACACCATGCCCGAAATTGTCACAAGTAAGCCCCTTTCTGTTTTTAATGTTTTTCAATCGACTTTGTTTATTGTGAATCCGTTCGACATATATGCCTTCACTCAGGCCTTAAAACAGCAGAGAAATGTTCTTTCACTCTTTGCTTACTGCAAACCTTAAATTTTAGAAAACACAACTGATCTTGCTCTTTCCAATTCTGTGTGGTTGCAATTTTTTTTCCCTTTAATAGCGCCCTCGTTTGTATTCCTAGTGACATTTTGTTAACTTAAGCAAAGTTGTAATCTCTTTATTACAAGAAAATTGTCCTACTTAAGTAAAGTTGAGTGACTTTTTCCGTACAAAAATAATTTAGCTACTTTATTGAAATAAAATGAAAGTTAAGTGACCACCCCTGAAATTAACCCCAAAATTGTCAATCGTTCTATAAAGTGAGCTATTCAAGAGGCCCATAAAAAGGTGCTGTAAGATTTAACAATATAATGTGGTCATTTGTATTTCAAGAAACAATACAGTCTATATCAACCACCTACAAATCTATAATTTGGACTTTGCAGGGTGCATATACTGCCATATCTGGATATTGGCAGCTCCAACCTCCCTCCCTTGCCAAGAATGTATTGTGGAAAACCTCTGATCCATAAAATGACTAATGCCTTTGTATGGTTGAAAGGTATACTTGACTCTGCACCAGCAGCAAATCGCTGAACTTGACCTCGTTGGTCTGCATATGCACAAGTCACCTGGCTCCTAAACAGCGAGAACTTCTATCCCCGCGAGATGAATTCTTTAGTAAAGACTCAATCCACAAGCTCTTCGAACCATATGCATAGCAATACCCCATAATGTACCAAACTGAACTCCTGGGAGATCAACGGACTACGTACTTGTGTTCAAGCTGCTTTACTATCTATGTGTTTTCTCGCATATACAGCCGGGAAAGGGATTCGCATAGAAGCTCTCTTCCAGCTTCGGAAATTCACCTGGCTCCCTCGTGTAAGGAGCTCCAGCACGACTCTCATGAAGCTTTTTTACTTTGGAGCTGAATTTCTTCAACGAGATCTTACCATCATCGAGTTCATCAACTAGCTTCACGAAATTCATCCTGCAGATAGGATGATTAGATGCCAAAAGTTAGGTCGAAAAAATACCTTCAACTTGGGAATATTGCATTATCATAGTTTGAGAAAATAAAATCTGTCAGTGTTAGATAGGGATAGGAAGATATCAAGAACAATTAATTACCTGTCTGGATTAATAGTCTTCTTAAAGTTTTCAAAACGCCTATGACCTTGTACTGCCTTAGCCATATTTCCATCGTAGGTGTAAAGGAAAACATCACTCTGAAGAGCAACAACATAGTCCAAACCAGCCAGCATATTTTGGTGATGCTCGAAAGTATTCAATTCCTCCTCCGTTGAAAGAGTTGAATGGGAAAAGATGTTTGGGAAATTATCCAGAAGAGGTTGCATGCTTCCATTCCCATAAGCTTCACCAGCCACCAAGTAAATCCTGGTGCTTGACGGGAATCCCAGCCCCTTAAGCAGAAGGGCAGTCTCCCTAGGGGTCAAAGGGCAACCACCAAGCTTTCTTTTTTCTGCACCATCAATTTCCTTTTCTTTCCAATGCCCGACCTCATAGCGCATCCTACGGAGTTCTTCATCCTCTTCAACTGTTAAATTTTGACTGCAGCCTGTAAAAGCAAGCATATCCTTCTCATACCTGCAAGTAGCATAGTTAACTGATTACGTGAAAAGGGTACAGAAACAACAGTTCAAGCAGGAAAAGAAAAACTTGATAGCAAATGCTTCAGCTAAGATAACACATCAGCATTACAGTTTGTGCAGTCACCATCCGATTGACTTTATATAACCATCATGTTACTTGAGAAACAAATATAACTGCATTTGGCTGATATTACAACTTTGCAGCCACTTTCTTTCAAAATATACAGTCACAATGTTGCTTTAAGAGTGCAAAAGTCGTACAAGATTAGAAAGTAAAACTTAGATAGCGGTATCCAATTAAAGGATCAACTTATAAATACTGACCCTGCAAAAGTAATGACCTCAAAAGTTTATAGAACTTTTGGCCTGGTTCATTTACAGTGGTCTACAGAGAGTATACAAGTGCATGCTACATAAGAATACAGACATGAGGTGATTTAATTGCCATTTTTAAAAACAGAGCTATTACAATGAACGGCATGTCTGGCTACATCAATTGGCCTGATCATTCAAATGAAAAGTGGCATCAAATTTTTTGACCTCATTCTCTTCTTTATCCTTGGGGGCTTGCACTATATTCATTTTAGACCCTTGCATTAATTAAAGAAGTGAACGAACAACAAAAGAGCTGTATGTCGCTATAGCTCCAATAGCTGTGAGAGAAAGAGATAACCACCGAAACTGACCTTAAATGGAGAGCAAGATAAGGACTTCCATCTTGTCGCATCCTTGAAACCAGAATTCTTCCCAAATTTTCAATTGGGGCAGAGTATTTTAGTGCTTGGTAATTTACACGGCATCTCAGCTTCTGAATAGAATTGGGAATCCCATTGTTGGCTATCCGAGAATCAGTATGAGTAAAATACATTACTTTGTGCTGCTTCAAAAGAGGGAGGACCTCTGATTTATAATAACTGACCTGATCAAATGAGAGAAACATGTAAGTATGGCAGGATACTCATCATCACACTAACATTTTGGCATCCATGCCAGTTTCACAGTTCACTCAAAGCAGTCTCACAACCATGTCAAAAACACACAATAAATTAGAGCCCTTGTTCTTGAACCTACTATTTGCGCAATCAATCAGTTAAGGACTTAACCTTAGACCAAGATATTGGTGTTTTGTTAAAAGGCTCAGTTCCAGCTAATTCTGGTGGTAATGTCTCAACAATGTGGATGTCATCCTTCAGAGTTTCAATGAAGTGCTGCCAGTCAAAAAGATCTTTGAAGCCACTGCATCATACAAACAATGGAAGAGATCGAGGGGAGTCAAGTCAAGAAAAACATCTACATGATGACTTAAAATCTTAATTTAAACATGAGAATATAGATAAAGCATCTGCAAATAAAAGTTATAAGCCCTTTGTTTATTCTATTTTTGGTGATTCCGAGAGAGGAGAATGGTAGTTGTCTACATTTTATTTAAAAAAGAAAACACCAAGGAATGTGGTGGGATGGATGGGATCGACCCTTAACTAGAGGCATCAGGTAAGACTCTTAAAGATGGAGAAACTCCCGGTATGAAGCGCCATCCCTTTAGTTACCCTACGTGCTACGAACGTCGGACCAGTGTATTTCGGATACTGGATGCATAAAGCAGAGAAAGAAAAGGAAAATAGAAGATTGCATTTGGGGGTTTTGGAAGGGGGGGATGTTGCAGCCTAAAATAAATATATTAAGTTGTCGCATCTCTACCAGTTTGAGAATTTTGATAAGGTGATTCATACAAGTTAACATAGTATTAAAGAAAGCAAAGTTCTTGGTTCCATTCCCGGTGCCACCCCAGAACAAAATATTTCACAGGCTTGCCACAAAAAAAGGGGAGAAAATAAAAGGAATCAAACATGCAAGTGACGGAGAGTGTCCTAAACCTAAAATAAATAAAAAGTCTCTCCTCTCTAATAATTTAAACTTTTGCATGATATGGTTCACATAATTCAATCGGAGAATTGATAGAGAGAGAAGGTAAGAGGGAGGTTGTACATTTCTAGACACAAATTTAAGTGGCAAAGCAATCTTTAAGAAAATATAAGATGGCCAATCTTATAATTACAAGTATAGTCAGTTGCTTTTGTTAATATACCAAAAAAATGCATTTTTTCATTACTACTGACTTGCCAAGTTTAGAACGTTTTGTCCAAGTTTTTTAACTTTTCAGCTACTTTGGCCATCCCGAGGAGAGTTGAAACAGACTGCAGATGGTGATTTTGCTTCATAAGTTAAGGTGGTCTGACCTTCAACTCTAACCGCCTTAAAATGTAAATTCAAACACACAATATATACAACCTCGCATACATAGTTGTTAACTAAAAAAAAAGTAGATTTTAAGGATTAACACTTTCAACTTCCTCAACATCTTGTGTCTTAAAGGAGATCCTTCGAAGTTGAAATGGTGATGCCTAAAAATACCCCATACACCTTTATGCTTTTGATGTCATGCAAAAAAGTAATCCTAAAAGAACTATCTTCTTCTTTTTCTTCATTTAAACTTTGTTGCTTTTCTTTCTTCTCTCAGTTTGATCTTGAAAATTTTTCTCTCAAAGCTAGAGGTATGAACTTGTTAGCACACGAGTGTTCCAACTCGGGACCGGAACCAACCATTTAAGTATTAAACTAAGCTTTATCAAAAAAGTGAGAAACTAAGAACAAAGAATCCAACACATATGATACATAACATTTTGGATATTCATACTACAATATATGGTGTGGGTGGTGGGAATCTTCCATAACTTTTGCCATATCAAAACCCAGAGCAAAATAACCAATTCAAAAGTGCTAGTGAAAATGTTATGAATTTGAATCATAGAGGTGATAGAAGCAGAGCACCTTTCATCTGCCCAGTAGGATGTATGATCAAGAGATGGAAGTACAAGTGTTGCCTTCATGATTTTAGCAACAGCTACCATATCACAAA